TCTATGTCTCTGGTGAGCACACGCACAGCACCCTATGGGCAAAACCTCAAAAAATAAATAGATAAATAAATAAATAACCCCCTCATGTTTCTACCACCTAGAAACAACCTCTATTTAGATTTTAAAACTTTAAGTATTTTTTCTATGTTTGTATATATGTATATATATTTATGTGTGTATACATATACACATGCATGTGCATACAGGTGTGTGTTTGGGGATTTTTTTTTAGGTTGCCAGAGGGCGGCCAGCCTTTGGCCTGGTGGCTAAGGTGGCTAGCTTCCATATGGCTGACCACGTGACTTGAGTGCCTGATGTGGTGGGTTGAAACACATGCCAAGAGCCTATGCATGTGTGTCTGTCCCGAAGGGAAGGAGAAATGCAGAAGGAAGTGTGGTATAAGCATGTCCTTGAGGAATGCTTTCTCCCTTTTGCTCTGTGTCAAGTGCATAAATGTGCCCTCTTGCCAAATTGTTTTTCATTTGCTGGGTGTGCAGGGGAACAGGAGCACCCCCTAAAGGGCATGGTCATGCTGCAATCCCTTGTCCTCTCTCTCCCCCTCCTTTTAGGACTTTGGGCAAACCTGCACACATGCCTGTCAATATTTTTAGGCCGCCACAGCCAGGACTTAAACCACATGATCAGCCATGTGGGATCCAACTCTAATCACCACACCAAAGGGCTGGCTCCCTGTACATATTTTGTCTCATAAAAAAGGTATCACAGGGGGCCGGCAGGTGGCGTGGTGGATAGGGGTGCTGGACTCCCACATGGCCGACCACAGTTCGAGTCTTGGACCTGGTGGCTTGCTTTCTCGCTTTTCCTCTCTCACTCTCTCTCTCTCTCTCTCTCTCTCTTTCTGGTCAAATTAAAAAATAAAATGAATAAATAAAATTAAATAAATTCTTTTAAAAAAAAAGGTACCAGTTTATAGTGCCTTTTTTTTTGAAGAGGTTTTTGCTATAGGGCGTGTGCGCTCGCCAGACAGAGACAGAAGAGATAGAAAGTGAGAAATCACCCCCCAGGGGGGATGGCCACACTGCAATCCCTTCTCCATTCTCCTCTCGAGATACTGGGCACGCACGCACGCACACGCGCCCGGCGTGAGTTTAAGCCACCGGGTCCGGGACTCAAACCGTGGTAGACTATGTGGGAGTCCAGTGACATAGCCATTACGCTAACTGCTGGTCCCTATAGTGCACTTTTTGTGACATATTCCACTAAGTCTTTCCCTGTCAATAAATACAACATTTTGGGGGCCAGGTGGTATGGTGGTTAAGGCACTAGAATCCTACATGGCTGACTGGTTTGAGTCCCAGACCTGGTGGCTTGCTTTCTCACTTTCCCTCTCACTGGTGAGTGCATGTGCCCTATAGCAAACTTTTTAAAAATAAATACAACAATTTTAATAGCAATGTGGCTTTTCACTTAACCTTTTCCCCATGATTAAACACAGTATCTTTAGGCCTCAGACTCTGTAATATAGGGTTTGAGAATAGGATATTGTTGGTACATCAACTGATGGAATCCATCTGGCTGACGTGCCTTATTGTCTCCTGTAAACATGGTTGGAGGATAACGCGTAAAGGTGAAGGCAGCAAGTACGTGTATCTCTGTGTGTGTGTGTGTGTGTGTGTGTGTGTGTGTGTGTGCCCAAAATAGACGGTCCACCCGTCACTAAGGCAGTCTCTGGCCAGGCAAAGCAGCTGCTCTGCATCCTCAGTCTTTTCATCCCTGGAAAAACCTTCCTACAAGCCCACTGTGTTCCCCTGCTGCCTGAGCAGGCAGAGGCACGTACCTGATGACTTGGGCTGTCGCTCTCCTTCTAATGAGAGCCGCTCTGGTGCCTTGATGAGAGACCTAACCCCAGGATTCTGATTGATCATATAAAATGGACAAAGCACACCATCTGTTGAAAGTAACATGAGAACTGGAGCAGGAGGAAGAGTCTTCTCGTCATCTGTTAAAAAAGAAAAGGGTGAAAAATGAGCCAAGCCAATGCCAAGGCCTGAGCCTGGAAGGAAAGACTGCACCGAACAAGACAGGGGTGTGAAGGGCTCCTCTCGCAGCAGCTCAAGTCAGTACGTCGTGCTTCAGATCTGACCAGTTTTTGGCACTGCAGCTATTTCAAAGGCCACAGCCACTGCCAGATGGCTACCCTCCTGCTGGGCCTGCCAGGAAGCGCCGTCAGTCCTGCAGCAGCTCTGACTTCCGCAAGGTGCCCTTAGTTTTTAAGAGCATCTG